TCTTTAGCAGCACTTTGGTGTCTCCTAAGTATAAAGAAGGGAATAGATAGCTAATTTGATGAATGCTCAGTTCCATTTAATGCAAGATTTTCGACTTCTAGTAATATTTTTTTGTGATTTCGGATAAAAGTGCACTTTTGGGATTCATTCTGAAGGTTGTCATCGCTGGCCTTCATCATTCCTAATATGGGACTGTAACCAAATAAAATCTGCATGGTCCTGCGAAGAAAAACCTTTCAGAGTGACATCTAATCACTTTATCAAACTGCAGATGGTTGGCATAAACAAATAAGCGAGAGCTCAACACAATATTTTTTCGAATCTGAAGGATTTGAGACTAAGCAAATAAAATCGCCTTCATTGGCTCGTGTTCAGCAGGGGGAGGTTCGACAGTTCACAGTAAACATGCACAAGTCGTGTCTTACCACTTTTTTTCTCTTTTTTCTCACAACTAGACCTCTCCTTTTCCTTCTCCGTTACAAAATCTGCCATCGCTGCAGTTCCGTTCCACTGATGGGAAGCTTCCTTTTCCCTACTCATCACATAGCGGAGGAATGAGCTAGCAAGGGTAAGGAAAGCATTCAAAGTTACGAATGTTATCGGAATATGAGCATCTAAAATAATGCTGGATTGATTGAAGCAAAGTGGTTGAAGTCATGATCCCCATGAAGGCCATTTAAACATTTATGATAGAGTTCACCTCTCACATTCGTTGTCAATTACCTGAGTACTTGCCTCAAGAAATTCAATAAAATGGCCTTTAGATTTGCTTACCTGCCCCAAAATTAAAATAATTTTAGGTATTTGGTAAACTCCTTAAGACCCAGAGAATAGAATAATGTAGGTTCTTTAGCATGATGCAGATCCACCACCACACTAAAACCGGCTAAATGAATCCTACTTCAATTAAAATATTGATAGTTTGGGTGAAATGTGTCTGAAGTCGGGAACAGTGTGAATACCCAAGTGATAGGCATATATTGTAGAGGCCCGAGACTTCCCTTAACACAAAAAAGACATACTCTTTCAGTGGGGTTTGGGTCTATTGGCATTGGTTAAAGGTCGAGCAGCCCCGTTAATTCCACCATT